GTTGTTGTTATTAGACAGAGGCTGGGTGCTATTTGTTGAAAGTGCTTTGATTGTGAATTTCTAAATATGAAATTGAAAAAAGGGAACAGGAAGTCTCAAAATATGAGTTAGTGCATCACAATAATTCTGTAGAACTTGAGCATGTGTTCAAACAGCAGTTTCTGTGTACACCTCTGGGCTTTCGTAATTCTGTAGCAGTTTGCAAATATGTTTAATTTCACAAGTACAAACAAACACAGTGTCCCCTGAGCAATGTAGCTGTTAGTCATGATCTACCGTGAGTGACACTTCCAAACAAAGAATACATTTCTTCAATGTGTAATGTTTAGGGAAATACAGTATTCTAGAGCAAGATTTTTTTACCATGCTGAAACACTTGGTTTTTAAAGTATTCATAAGACTAGGAACTTGTTTTAAGGAACAGTGTTTCCCCATATGCATCCCTTAAAATAAAATAGTGAAATAGTTATACAAAAACTTCAATGCTTTGCATTATTTTAAATGTCTTAATAGATTTTGTCAGAAGGGAAGTTTTTCAGGGCCTCGTGCCATGAATGTAAGTTCTGTATGTATTTTGAGTGGGCTTTCCTTTCTTTGTACAAAAGGTTTTAAGGTTGGTTTATTTTTATTTTAGATTTGTTTTACTTTTAAAGAATTAGAATATCCAGTTTGTTTAGTCAATGGGGCATGATTACCATTTTTATAAAACATACTATTGACACAATTTGAATTAGCCCAGAAAACATATATAGGGAGGATCACATGGTTGTTCCAGTGTGCCTTCCCAGAATAAGGAAACTCCCAGGAATATGTCCCTAAATGCACTTTATCAATGATTTAGGATTGTCTGCACGCCCTTTCCTCTCTGAAATTCTATCCTAGTTATATATTTCACCTGGTCATGCTCAGGATTATTTTTTAAAATTTTAATTATTACATTTGGCCCAGCCATAGGTTTTTAAGCGTTGTCGTACTGTTGTTAATATTTACTCCTTTTTTATTTATGAGTTTCATTTTATTGTTTTGTATTGCTGTTGTTGTTTTTGCTGATGTATTGTGGGCTCGGCCTCATGTAAACCGCACCGAGTCCCTTGGGGAGATGGTAGCGGGGTACAAATAAAGTGTTGTTGTTGTTGTTGTTGTTGTTGTTGTTGTTGTTATTATTATTATTATCACCACAACACAGGATTCCCCGGGCTTTTGGGACCAGGGAGCAGTTTTGGAATATTGAGATGGTGCCATGGGCTTCCCTGTGATGGACAGAAGCAATTTTCTTTGTGAGAGTTAGTTGCCTCTTTCTAGACCATTTAATATCATTCTAATATTATTCTGTCCATTGTAGCATTTTTGACAATTTTTCACTTGTGGGCATACCTTCTCTCTTGCTTTGAGTTATGCTAAATAAACATATATTGAAGATATCTGATAGCATCCTATGACACTGGAAGGGAAGCATTTGTGGTTTATTGTTTGTCCAAAGCAGGGGTCCCCAAACTACGGCCCGCGGGCCGTATGCGGCCCGCCAAGGGCCTTTATCCGGCCCGCGCGGCCTGTCCAAAGCCCCTCGCCGCCGCCGCCAATAATGGCGTCTGCTCTGCTGCGCTTCTCCCTCCACACGGGATGGAGAAGCCTGTGGAGGGAGAAGCACTCTCTGCTCTCCCGCGGAGAACAGAGAGCGCAGCAGAGCGGGCGCCATTCCTCTGTAACAGAAAATCCCTGGTGGCGCGAATGGTGGAGGCGGCGCCGGGTGGGCGTGGCCAGGCTTCCGGGCCAGGGAAGCCAGCATCGCTTGGCCACGCCCACCTGGCGCCGCACGCCTTCCTTGCCACCAGGGATCGTCTGTTACAGAGGAATGGCGTCCGCTCTGCTGCGCTTCTCCCTCCACAGGCTTCTCCATCCCGTGTGGAAGGAGAAGCCTGTGGAGGGAGAAGCGCAGCAGAGTGGACGCCATTCATTCCTCTGTAACAGACGATCCCTGGTGGCAAGGAAGGCGTGCGCAAATGGTGGAGGCGGCGCCGGGTGGGCGTGGCCAAGCGATGCTGGCTTCCCGGCCTGGAAGCCTGGCCACGCCCACCCGGCGCCGCCTCCACCATTTGCATTCGCGCCACCAGGGATCGTCTGTTACAGAGGAATGAATGGCGTCCACTCTGCTGCGCTCTCTGTTCTCCGTGGGAGAGCAGAGAGCGCTTCTCCCTCCACAGGCTTCTCCATCCCGCGCTGCTCTGGAAAGGTTTGGCCCAATTCTATTGTTGATGAGGTTCAGAATGCTCTGTGATTGTAGGTGAACTACAAATCCCAGCAACTACAACTCGCAAATGTCAAGATTCTATTTCCCCCATACTCCACCAGTGTTCACATTTGGGCATATGGAATATTCGTGCCAAGTCTGGGCCAGATCTTTCATTGAATCCACAGTGATTTATGGAGGCAGGTGAACTAAAACTCCAAAACTCAAGGTCAATGTCCACCAAACCCTTCCAGTATTTTCTGTTGTTCATGGGAGTTCTGTGTACCAAGACTGGTTCAATTCCATCATTGGTGGAGTTTAGAATGCTCTTTGATTGCAGGTGAACTATAAATCCCAGCAAATACAACCCCCAAACGCCACCAGTGTTCACATTTGGGCATATTGAGTATCAGTGCCAAGTTTGGTCCAGATCCATCATTGTTTGAGTCCACAGTGATCTCTGGATGTAGGTGAACTACAACTCCAAAACCAAAGGACACTGCCCACCAAACCCTTCCAGTATTTTCTGTTGGTCATGGGAGAACTGTGTGCCAAGTTTGGTTCAATTCCATCGTTGATGGGGTTCAGAATGTTCTTTGATTGTAGGTGAACTATAAATCCCAGCAACTACAACTCCCAAATGACAAAATCAATTTTTTTTGAGTGAAGGACATACATTGGGTTGTTAGGTATCCAGTGGTTTTTGAGTTCTGTTAATCCCACAAACGAACATTACATTTTTATTTATATAGATTTATTTCCTATATTTATACCCTGCCCTTCTCCCCCTGAAAGGGGACTCATGCTTACATATTTCAAAAACCACTTTCAAATGCTTTCCTCATTTTAATTGGAACTATTTTATCTCCAGAAATGCTAAAACCATGCTTTATGTTCAGATTGTAACAATAAAAATACATCATGCATATCAGATATTTACATTACAATTCATAACAGTAGCAAAATAGGACATATGCAGTGTGCATAGGAATTTGGTCATCATTTTTTTAAAAAACACTATAGTCCGGCCCTCCAACGGTCTGGGGGACAGTAATCCGGCCCCCCGTTTAAAAAGTTTGAGGACCCCTGGTCCAAAGCATGATGTTGGTTTCTGGGGGTTTGTGGTTTTTGTGTTTGTGTTATTAAAATTTATTGGAAGCCACTTTGAGAATCATTCAGGTGAATTTACTCTGTATATGCTAATACAGCCCCCCCCGAAACTAAGGCCCTCCAAGATCTATTTATTTATTTATTTACCATATTTATATGCCGCCATTCTCAGCCCGAGGGTGACTCGGCAGTTTACAAATGGCACGATTCGATGCCTGCAACAACATAAAAACAATTAAAACATTTCGCATAAATAACATTTAATAAAATAATGAAACCAATAAAAATATAGATCCTCAGTGTCTCATTACTAAAATCATTATCCAGTCGCATTGTCCAGTCATTCCAAAGATGAGAGTTTGTCTGCTACACTGCATTTGGGAAACCTTGCTCAAAAAGTCAGGTTTTAACGTTTTTGCGAAATGTTAAGAGGGTGAGGGCCGATCTGATGTCCCTAGGGAGGGCGTTCCACAGCCGAGGGGCCACTGCTGAGAAGGCCCTGTCTCTCGTTCCCGCCAACCGAATCTGTGAAGAAGGTGGGACCGAAAGCAGGGCCTCCCCAGAAGATCTTAGGGTCTTAGATGGTTCATAAGGTAAGACAGGTAAGCTGGGCCAGAACCATTTAGGCTAAAGCCAGCACTTTTACCAGGCCTGCACCCTAAACTTTAAACTTAAGGTGGCCCTCAGTCTGAAATGACTTGAAGGCACATGACAACAACAGTCCTAATTAGCATGACTATCTCATCAGTCAAAAGCAGTTCCACAATTCCCATTGAAACACTGGTAAGTTTATTTTGATTAAACTTAAGATTATTCTTCATTTAAACTATTGTATTGTTCTTTCATGTTTTTGCCCTAGGAATAAGATATGTGCAGTGTGCATAGGAATTAGTTCAAGTTTTTTGCAAGCAAGCTCTAGTTCACTCCCCAATCCCTCAACAGTCTGAGGGACCATGAAACCAGACATCTGTTTAAAAAGTTTGGGGGGGTACTGTTTTATTATCTGGGCAGAGGCCACAAGGGGGTGCTAGATAGAGAAGAATAGTTCATTGGGGGTGGGGTTGAAGGAGTTAAGCCATCCCCCCTATGTTCCTCTTCCCCCCCCCCCGTCGCCATTGTCAAAACAACCATCATTTATGATATCAGAAGGGGGGGGGGAATAACCAGCAAAAATGAGGGGAAATTATTTTACTCCTTCAGCACCCTGATGGGTCTATGGACCATAATAAAATTGTTGTTCTTATTGTTGTTGATCTCTTCGGACCCCTCCCCCCCCCCCCCCCCCCGCAAATGGATTATTCTTCTCTGTCTAGGTCCCCTTTTGGATTTTGCCTGGATAATTGAACATTACTATTTGAGGACCCCTGCACTAATGATTCAAGTTACCTGACCAAAGATGTTACCTGTTCCCATAGCTACATCTTTTGTCAGGGATATAGTATCGGTTGTCATGAATGCTCAGAAGAATCTAGTGAAGAAGCACTCATACCCCCTGTTTAATTTGGGGGGTCCATATGGAAATATTACTACTTCAGTTAGAAGCTGATTGGTCTGAAATAAAAAGAGAATTTAAGTGAATAAGATATGGATGATATTTAAAATGTAAATATATGTTGTCGTCTTATGAAAAATAAATACTGAGACTTTTTTAAAAATGTTATAGCAGGTCATAGGTGTGAAAGGGATGAGAGGTTAGAAGGACCATCCCAAAGAGCTCTCAGAGAAGCCAAGGACCAAAATGCGTATTCTGGAGTTCATCCCTATGATCCGGCCAAAGATCCAACGAAACAGATGGGCAAGAGATTTCCAAAGGTATGAAAATTTCCCTTTGCTCAGCCTTTGCAAGATTTGTTCTGATATTATGTGATTTGTGAAACTGCAGATATCACTATAATTGGCTGCATCAGAGCTTGCTATAGGAATTTCCATATTTCTATGGTGTACATCTTATAGTCCTGAAGCCAGTTCGAAATTCCTAGGAAACATGAATTCTTTGTAGATTTAAATCTAGGCTTTGGCACTATTTCAGTGGGAAACATTAGTTACTTTTTCTGTGTTAATTGGAGATATGGTAGTCTGGGAGCTTGAAAGTATGCAGAAATATTTGAAAGGTGATTGCAGATGTCGAGCAGCTATGTGAAATAGCTAATTGGGAACACTGTGGGGAGGGACAATGAGAAAGAATAATAGTTATTAGTGTGTGGAAAAATTGGTAGTATGATTAAATATCATAAATCTAAACTCCACTGTGCTTGGCCTCATCTGCTTCTCATATGTTAGAGATTCTAAAGCTCCACATTTTCAGGAGTGAGCAGAAGCTGAAAAACCTTACACTTGTTCCTCCACAACAGATTTTCTGAAAATACATTTCTTTTATTTCCAATAATGGCTATGTATGTCCTGTTTCTTTGCTGCCGATAGTAGCTAATAGGGCTGTGAGATCAATAAAAAACATGTTTCAATATGCATTACAAAATTGGGGAAGGGGTGAATCAGTTGTGAGGGTGTTTCTGAAATTATGGACCTAATTTTTTGTAACTATAACAAAATAATAAATTTTAGTTACTATTTCTGTTAAGTAATTGAGCAAGTGGGGAAACTTCAGGGGCTCATTTCTCCCTCGTTTTGAAATTTGCTATAATTGCACCACACATTTTCCACTGTTATCCCACCAAATTTCCGAACATTACACTCAATCCCCTGAAGTTTCAGAAATATTCACACATCTACTAATATTTGGGGATTTGTAGTAGTTTAGACAAAAACATTTACCCTCCAAAAAGCCATAACAGGAATCTCCTTGAATGTCTAACAGTGTGTCTATATGACAAACAATTAACCATAAAACTTCAACTTAGTACAGATTTATTCTATTCTTACTTTAGTTCTCTTTGAATATTCAATAATTTTACTTTATTATTGTTAGACTGATTCTAAATGGCTGGCTACTGCATTGGGGCTTTCTGATGATGAGCACAGCATTCTAGAAAATGTAGTTTAGGGCAGGGCCTTTTGAATTCTCTGCCACAGAGGGCCTCGCCTTCCTAAACTACATTTCCCAGAATGCTGTGTTCTCAATCTCCCGCCCAGCTAGCTGCCCTTCCTTATGGCGACTGTCAATTAACCTCCGTCTAGCAATGACCTCTTAATGCTTATAATGAAAATTAAATTGATTTCGAGAGGCTTCCAAATGTTACAGAATTGGTGACTGTTTCAAATCTTAATCCCCCCCACTTTTTTGCATGTTTCTTAATAGGGATTCATTTGCACAATCTTATGAATTACTAACAACTTATGGGACTAATGATAAATCTTAAAATGTAATTGACAACTCAGAGACAGTGACCAGCCATTTATTCCCATCTGGAACGGGAGAAATACATTCTTAACAGGGACTTCACAAACTTACTTTTTGCCATATGTTTCCATAGGTTTTAGTGATGCTACAACTGTATGACCCTTAACCAGAACAAAATCTGCTAGCAGTTAATTGGAATCAAAACAAAAGTTGAATGGTTGAGTGGTTTAACTGACTGAAAAATTGTGTGCTACTAATAATGGATTTCTTAATCATATAAGTCTAGCTGATAGTTTTGATACAAATTTAAATCATGACGGAGTGGAATATCTGCGTTCTGGACTCTTCTCCCTCTCAGAAAATGTGGACATATTGTTACACATAAGTTTCACAAGCATTCTTACCCTGTATGTCTCATTGTTGATGCATAAGTGGTACTATACAGCACTTTTGAGACCATATTTTAGCAAAACCATTTGTAAAATACATGGTCTTTGTTGATACTTTTGTCATTCGATTTCACAAGTTCAGCTATTATGCTTTGATGAGAAGAACTTCTGTAGTGTAAAATGTACAAAAGCGCAAACACATAACTCTAAACGTATCTGAATTGTATTATAATGGTCTTCTTAATAGTAGAGTGAATGATGAAACATATACTTTAAAGTGAGACTAAAATTGGAAACCTGTAATCTTGGAGTTACAAGGATATGTGTAATAATAATTGTGTTCAATCTATTTTGCTGAGAAATGTGACAGAATTACTCTAGTGGATGATAGAAATGTTCAAAAGAGGTCAAGCTATTTTCTTACATGATGGTTTTTTTCTTACATTTTTGAACTGGAAATCAATCAGTGATTCTGTACTTCTCTCAGAATCCTCATAGAAGGTATTCACATATGTTTGATGTGTCTACATAAAAGCACAATTCACATGTGGTTACTAGATAGGCTAAGCAGTAAAACCTAGTTGGGTGATCCTTTAACCTGTATCACAAGGCGCTTGCAGACAACAATGTTTTTGGAAAAGACTAGTGTGGGACTAGTGTTTTGTGGCTAGAACCAGAAGCACTGGAATAATTGCCACAATATTACTAATGTAATGTCATGGACCCACATATTATGCAAACTTCCAGTTTACAGTCCCTTCACTTAATATATTTGTTTTGCATAATAACTGGAAGACTTCTTCTTGGAAGTGATTTCACTGGTCAGCTCCCCCTGACCACAGATTGTGCTATCCATGGGTGGTCCTAACGGGAAACCTCAGCAGATACCAAGGACCCAATGAAAACATAGAACTTCTGATTCTGACCTTTCTGCTAATAATAGGATGATGGTAGCAGATCTGTGCATTGGAATCAGGATGATAGGCTGTTTATTAATGTTGTCTGCCATGTCAATCAAAACACTTA